ACCAGACCCTGAAAACTGACAACTTCTGCTTTTACGAGGCTTCTAGTTTTAAGGAAAATAAAGCAACCATGTACTTACCAGGCCACGCCCCATTCAGCATGTGAGGTAACATCCTGGTCTTGGTAGATCCGAGCAGACTTTCCGGAAGGAGTGGCTTCTGAGTAGGGTTTTGTGGAACACACATGAGTTTTCTAGTTTGCAGAGGGAAGAAAGGCTCAGAGGCACAAAGCTTGGTGTAAGCCAAGGTGACGAGGAGCGGAAGAGTTCTGTGTTGTGGGAGAATCCAACCCAGTGATCTTGATCATTGTGCGAGGTTCTTAAAAGAGCTAGGCTTTGCTGGGTGTGGGGGTAGCTGCCTACAACCCTAGTATGCAGAAGGCTGAGACAGGAGGATTGCCAAGGATTGGAAGCCAGCCTGGGGTACATAGTAAGATCTAGTTTTGAAACAGCAGTGGCAGCAACAGCAGCAACAATACAAAGCCTCATGGGAAGGGGACAGACAGACGACAGACAGGGCAATCTTAAGGCTACCCTCTTGCTTGTTCACGGAGACCTCTACTATTCCATGGGTGACTATGGTCTTGGCAGGAAGTGCTCAAGGGAGCAGAGTCTGCATCTACCAGGCAAGGTTTCCTGGCCTCACTGACGGAGAGCACATCTATGCCTCTGTGCATCCAAGGAAGCAAGGTTCTGTCCCCAAACTGCAGAGGGAATGAGATGCTTCCTTTCTGCTGGGGGGTGAGGCAGGGAGAGGCCACGCTGCAGATACCCCTACCCAGTGTCTGGCCCTCAGCTCTCATCCCTACTGGTTGGGGAACTGTTTCAGCATCATCTATGGCCAAGATGCCCTGTGCATCCACCAGTTCCATGAGTATTGTGTGGGCCCCAGGGAGCTGACACCAGGCAGATGGAGGCTGTGGGAGCTCCTAGGTCTGTGTCACCAGTGAAGATGCAGGCTTCAGCCCCCACCACCTAGCAGAGGGCATGGTGCCCGGAAGACAGCAGGACCCTCATGTCTTCCCTGCAAGTTATTTATAACCTCGCAATGGTAATTTGTGGCAATCACAGCATTTAATCCTGTAATCATCACACTGCAAGCAGGCACCCAGCCCAGTGAGGTCGGTGAGCCTGCCAGGGTTCGGGGAGGGACTTGGCAGCAGGACAGGGAGTGTGGAGGCGGTGATGTCCTTATCAGCCTCCACCCCATCTCTCAGCCATGCCCCGCCCCCCCTGCACCCTGGATAATGCGAATGACAATAGCAGCTAACACGATTCACAGGTGTCATGTTCTATGCCTTGTTCTAAAGCTCCTCACTCATAGGAACTCCCTTATCTCCACTGCCGCTCCCTAAGGGAGTTATATTATCCCTGTGTCGTTCCTGCCCTCCAGGCGAGGAAACAGGCTTAGGTCACACAGCTGATAAGAGCCATGTCTTGAACTCAGGCCTTTTGGTTTCAAAGCCCAGGGTTCTGGAGACTATAGTCTCAGAGGTAGAGATGTCCCATCTACCTCTGCCCCACCTCCACTATTACCCTTGGCTCTGCGGACACTCTGGTTTCCTCCATGCACCTGCTCCGGAGACGCATACATGCTCAGGAGACCACATGCACCACCACAAGACTACTTTTTACTTTGTGTTGGCGTTGGCTTCTTTCCCAGACATGCTTTCCCCAGTGACAAACGGTTGTAGAAAGAGGACTTGGGCAGCAGACCCGGACTCAATTCATCAGATGCTCTCCGCATTTTGCTTCTGCAGAGAGGGACAGCCTGCAGCTTGCAGCTTGGAAGGGCGGGGCACTGCCTGGCTGAGTGCCCTCTTCTATGGAGGTGGGGCCCTCTAGCGGGGATTCCGTGGCCTTGTTTGTTATACGGCTGGCCCAGAGGACCTGGGATGTGTAAACTACACATTTTAGAGTTTACTCATCTGTAGAATGGGGCTAAGGACAAGAGCCATCTAAACTGAGAAGGCACATGGGAAGATGGGTGAGTTGACACAAGCCAACCTTAATGAGGGCTCATTGAAGTGGACCCATTGCTATTGGCTTTCATGGTCACCCTGTCCTGAGTGCAGAATTTAGGCTTCCCCCATTCAGGCTCAGGGCCAGGTCTTTTGTAGTTAGAAAAAGACAGAGGGCTGGGGGGAGGACGGCGCCGTGCTACCCTTCAATCTCAGCACCCAGGAGGCAGGGATGAGGAGGAGGGTGAATCCCATGTCAGCCTAGTCTCGATAAAAACCACAAAACAAAAACCAGAAGCAGGGGTGATTAAAGCACTCGCCATACAAGTGTGAGTGCTGGGATTGGAATCCCCAGAACTCACATAAAGCTGGACACAGTAGACCACGCGCCTGTAGTTTTAGTGTTCTTACTGCAAGATGGGAATTGAGACAGAATTCTCAGAGGCTTGCAAGAGACCCTGTATCAAAGAAGGTGAAAGGTGAGGACCAATGCCTGTCTTCTGACCTCCACATGTAGGCTGTGGCACTTGTGCATGGGTATACACATACATCTCTCTCTCTCTCTCTCTCTCTCTCTCTCTCTCTCTCTCTCTCTCTCTCTCTCTC